GTTTTTGGCAATTACTTTGCGTTTTATTTCCAGCCATTTTATAGCTCTGAGATTTTCTTCTGTACCGCTTTATATCATCCTCAAGAAAAGTTTTAACAATAATATTGTTGTTTTTAATTTTTGTAGTCTTTGTATCCACCGTAGGTTTGTTGTTGATTACTCAGCTCGCAAAAATTTTTGTTGGTCTTCGACACGAGACTAGTTAATTCAAGTGGATTTTGGCTCACTGGATTTCAAACTTGAGATCAGAAATCAAAAACTTACTCGGTGTTTCTGTCTAACCTCAAAAACCCACCATAAATGTAAGATTTTAAGTAAGATTTTTGAAGCTCGAAAGAAAAACTAACTATTTTTTAATTCTGTTTCTAGACGCTTAAATTGTAATATCTTTTTGTGGGACTGTGTTCGTTTAAACCAAAGCGAGGTCTAAGTGTTCTCAAAAAGCTTCAGCGAGGCTATTGTTGGCAGTATAAGTAAGCTTCTAATTGTTTTTATGAAACTGATGTTTGAAATTTATTGTGGCAATATCTACTTGTGAAGAAGTGAAGAGAAACGAAGTTTTCCGATCGAAAAAAATTGATTTTCAAAAATTCCATACCATTTCTATGAAAACTTGTTTTTTCCCCATATAAAATACATGGACAACTTTGAGCGCTTGCAGCGACCTCTAAATATTTTTTGATTTGAAAATAAAAAGATGGGGGTATATTTTTTCGGTATAGAACAATTTATGGGGTGAGAGCTTAAAAGCACAAATCTTGTCTAGTTATGCATTCCAATCTCCCCAGTCCCGAAGATTTCATTCCATTTAAGCCGTAACTTGGCTGAGATAAGCACCTTCTGAATGAATATCAAAGCGAAAAATTTTGGTTTAATTCTACACGAGAACATAATGTAATGTCAAGAACATTCCCACAAAAGAGCCAAATGGCAACAAAAGTACTGAGAGCAGTTTGAAACGGAACGAAATGAAAATTAAAGGATCGGGAATGTTTTCGTAAAGAACAAAATGCGAACAATCTCTCGGGAACGTTCTTTAGAGGGACAGAAAGAGAACGAAACTTTCGGGAACGTTTACAATGAGAACAAAATAAAACTAAAGTAACGAGTTGGGATGAAAAATCGTTCCAGTTAGACCCACGACTATTGATTCTAACCCAGAGGAAGTCTGGACCATTTCAAATTCCATTCCATCCATCGTTTATCGTTAGGGTGAACTGCCCATTTATGGAACATTTTTTTCATTTTATGCGCAAGAAAAATTCGCATCTTAAGCCTTTCGTTGATTTTATTTGCAACGATATGTTTCAGTACTTTTTTGAATAATTTAAATATTCAAACATTTCAAACCAATAGAGATGACTGGATGAGAAAAATTATGTTCTCGCTTCCTTTCTTCGCTAATAGTTCGTAGAAGATTTGTTCCCCATTTCATTCCCTGCCAGAAAGCTCCTGAGTTTCTAGTTCCCAAATTGTTCTTCAAGAGAAAGTTCCTTAGACTTTTGTTCCCGTTTTGTTCTTTGCCAAAACGTTCTGGAGACTTTTTCCCCCATTTTGTTCAATGAAATGGTTAAGAGCTAGTCCCATACGGAGCAGGTTTCGGGAGGAAAAAGATGTTTTTATGTCACTGACAACCATCAACCGTCGTATTTCTAAACACTGCCTAATGATAACTAATTCCAAGCGGAATAACCGACTATACCGCAAAATGTGCGGAATTTTCTGGTCCCCAAACTCTTTAGAATGGACTTCAATTTTAGCCAAACTTGACAGTAAAGACTCGTCACTACTCGCTACTGTTCATGTAGGACACTGAGCCTTAGGTGCAGAAGCTATTGGAATAGAAGTGAATCATAACACTTGCCGAAGCGTAATAAACAGTAGAACATCACTCCTCTAATTACACAGCACATGGTTGGACTAGAAAGAGGTTTCTAGGCAAACCTCGCTTGATTGTTTTTAGTCTATTGAAGTCCCTAAGGTTTTTAAACTTCGTGGCGCTATCGTTGCTGCGAACTTGTTTTGTAAAAAAATCTAATATCTCCAGAACGAGAACAGATATCGAAATAACAGCATTTAAAGCTTTTGAGATGGACAATTCAGGAAAAGTAAACTCGCTGAATAAAAAATTACATTGACCTGTAAAATGGCCTGAGAACAGAATGCAATGAATCTTTTAAATGGTTTTAGCATATGTATATTTTTACTGTGGTTGAGCGAAGATACCCATTTCCCTGGTTGCAATAACCGAAAAAGCAATTTAAATTTTTTTGCCAAAGTTCATTATATGCTATTTTTATGAAGAAAAAAAAAACGAAGAATTTAAGAACAAAGTAATTTTGTGTCCAACCAGACCTCTAAAATGGCCTAAAAATGGTAGACGCCTCCAAACCATACCAAGCTAAGTCTCCTTAGACTTAATCAGACTTTGCAAGCGGTATGTTGTCTTAAAAAAGTAAAATAAAATAGTTTTGCGAAAGGACTACAGTTTGCTGCTTTTGAGCTAGGGAGGATCTAGTTGCTACACAAGGCCCCCCGAAATATAGCGTCCCCGATAATAAGATGCTAATAACCAGGGTTAGGATTTTAAGGAACTAAAAACTTGAAAAAAAAAACGCAAAATGAGCTTTGAAAAAAGGAAACAAAGACAACATTATTTTTTAATTTTGTTATGTATGTCCTTTCTTTATGTACAATGTGCATGTCCAATTAAATATATAAAAAAATACATACAGTGGTCAAAAAATTATAGCCGAACTACTTTTTGCCAAGTTTGAACGTATTATTTTTGTTGTTATTTATTTTTGGTTATTTTTTTTTATAAAAATATATTTCATTCTTTAACAAAACCCGCGAAAAACCAAGTTTCCAACTTTGTGCAATATAAAAAAACTTCAACAAACTTTCGTATAACTTTCGAACTTTTTTTTTTGAATTCTGAAAAATCAACCGTAATTTTTAGCCGTTTGAAATTTGTACTTTATTCTACTAGAATTCAATGGGATAAAAAACCGCATACTCAGAAAAAATTAAAAAACTTGGAAGTTTTACGCACATTTTTGGAATTTGTATATATATTTTTTGTTTAATTGCATAAATTTTTAAGGCAGTGTCACTCGATTGGTACATTTGTACAGATTTATGCATTTTTATATTCGGCTATTGGTACAAAATAAAAAAATGGGACAATTTCTATTGAAAAATTTCAACAAATTATTATTTGTGACTGGGTATTCACACAATTGGTACAAAATTTCGGCAAATACCCAATCGTGTAACACTGCCTGTAAACTTGTATTCATACGGATGTTGTTAAGGAATGAACTATAAAAAGACTAACCAAAATTAAATAATAACAAGAATAATATTTTAACACTAGTCATTGTCAAAATTTGGTGCGGCTATAATTTTTTCGACTACTGTACATAAGTTGACTATGAGTACTCGGCCGTGCTAACATAGTAGCACAATGCCACTAATATTGACTTAAAAATTTCAACCCTGTTCATGTGAAATATTTTATTTTTATCAGTATTTTTCTTTTAATAATACAATGTTGAAATAACAGTGAGAATAAAATTTTTTTTTGTCAGAACCACCCTCCGAAAAAATCCTGGCTACAGCTCTGATTGCCCCATATAAGCCTGGTTCCTTTTTGGCGATAAAGAACTAATACTGAACTAGAAGTTTGATTCACTAGTTCGGGTTTGCTTTGTAGGGTTCCTAGAGGGTGCGGATATATACATATGTATATAAACACCTAAACATTCATGCTCGTGTATGTAAAATTATTTATATTCTATTTCGTTAACTACTTTTATTTATAGACAATATCTGCACATTGAGTTAGCACGAGAATACCTACATATATTAAATTGCAAAAAAAAACGCAAATGTATGTACAAAGATTCATGTATACTACTATACAATCACAATATTTGATTTATTTATTTTTGTCTCTGGTATCTCACTTTTCGCGAACATTAGTGGTGCCACATTCAGTTGTCTGTACATACATACATACATCAGTACATACTTCCCGAGTACATACTCGTACATTGTACAATTAGTGATCGGTTTAATGTACATATCTGCAAGATACAATTCGAATTCGCATTCGTGCTCATTCTTTTGCTTACCCAACGCGCATTTATGTATGTATGTATATGTCATTCTGCAACTAAGCCCCAGCCTTAGCCTCCTCCCTAGACCGGATTTGTCTCCATCAGCACCCATTCAATCGTCAGTTTGGTTGTCATTCATAGCTCGCCGCAATTTTTACGTATAATTAACTAAATTGGCAGTCAACTCGCACTACGCAAGGAGTACAATTTTTTTTTATTTGCGAATATTTATTTTTTTTTTATTATATATATATTCTTAAATGCCGTTTTATAAATTTGGTGCTGTGTTTCTCTTAATGATTGCTCTTTATAGTTGTGGTCAAATTTCTTTGTCGAAGTACAGTAACAATCGACTTAACGTCAAAACATCTTCTCTAAGAAAATGCCCATATTCTTAAATTTTTCACCTGTTGGGTTCGAATTGTTAGAGATGTGAATTATCATGTATTGCATTCTGAAAGGCAAAGCTTGTAACTAAAGATTTTTTTAAATTTTCAGTTAATAATGTTTTTAATTTTAGGTTATACATTGAAGTATAACTTCTGTATATATTTTTAGTCGCTTTTTTACTTGAGTACATGTTTTACCACACCTATGTACTTGCATTGACATGTAATTATGTAAGTATATACGTATTAATTTGTGCTATGCCTTATGTTTTGCCTCATTAATGTCACGCTGATTTATGGTTTGAAATTTGTTTCTGCGGCTGCACGTTTGCCCACATGCCTTGCCGGTTTTTTAGACGGCTGCGTGTTTTTTTTCAATTTTAATTAAACGCGAAAGTGACGTGTAAGATCCTCATTTCTTTTCTAATTAGTATATGTTTTGTATATTATTTTTTTCTTACACATCTTATTGCTCATAAATACTCACCACAATTAAAGAAGGTGTCTGCTTTATTCCGTTATCTTCCGTGGTGTTCAAGATATTGATCTGATATTTGTGAAAGATAGAATGTGCCGTTTTTATTTAGATTATCTGAAAGAGAGGAGAAAGAAATTGAACTTATTAAGTTAACGAAATTGATTATCAATAAATCTAAGAAAATCTAATTTTAAAATAATAAAAATGTTTATAAGTTTTTCCTCTTACGAGGAATTCCGTAATTTTTTAATTTTTTGATATTTTTATATTTTATAATAGTTATTGAGATATTCAAAAAATAAAATTGCAAAACAGCGGAAAATGTAAAATCAAAAAATTTTAATAACCTTGAAATTTGTTGTCTTCCTTTGGCAGAACTTCTTTTTATAATAAAAGAAAAACTCTGGTGGCCAAAATTCATCCAAATCAAAAATGGTCCATTCCAACCATTAGACAATTTGACATGGATTGGCCCGTATTAAAAACAAATTTTGAAGACCTGATTTCATAAGCGTAAATACTGTTTACTAAACAAAGGAGAATATTAATTATCCAAAATTGCAAACTAATTTATTAAGAAAAACATCATACAAAAATGTGGAAATAAGAGAAAAGTTTGTTTCAAAAATATTATTTGAAGCAAAAAATTATCAACTAACAAAAATTTCCAAATTGAAGAACCAGTTTTATTAGGCAAACAACAATTGATAACACCGTGCGACAAAAGCAAAAAAAAAAAAAATTCTAAACACATGAAGCAATCAATATACTCACGAAACTATGGACCAAATATACAGCCCTGTTCTGCATTTCGATTCCGTTCAAATGTTTCGGAATCGAAATGCATTGGTGTTCTTGATTTCGATTCCGACCAAATTTTTTCGATTTGAAAAGTTTGCACTTTGGCTAGTCGGAATGAAAAGTAATTGGCTAAGGAAACCCAAATATATATGCAGTTTGTCCGCAAAATATTTTCTTTTGAATTTTTATGATATTGAGAGAATTTATAAGTC